TATACACTTCCCATACACCCCCTATACACTCCCCCATACACCCCTTATACACTTCCCATACACCCCCTATACACTCCCCATACACCCCCTATACACTCCCCATACACCCCATATACACTCCGCATACACCCCTTATACACTCCCCATACACCCCCTATACACTCCCCATACACCCCCTATACACTCCCCATACACCCCCTATACACTACCCCATACACATTTATACACCCCCTATACACTCCGCACCCCTATACACCCCATTATACACTTCCCATACACCCCCTATACACTCCCACCCCTATACACCCCCTATACACTCCCTATATTCCTATACACCCCCTTATACACCATCCCCATACACCCCCCATACACCCCCCATATACACTCCGCATACACCCCTTATACACTCCCCATACACCCCCTATACACTCTCCATACACTCCCCTATACACCCCCCATACACTCCCCATACACACCCCCCCTATACACTCCCCATACACCCCCTATACACTCCCCATACACCCCCTATACACTCCCCATACACCCCCTATACACTCCCCATACACCCCCTATACACTCCCCATACACCCCCTATACACTCCCCATACACCCCCTATACACTCCCCATACACCCCCTATACACTCCCCATACACCCCCTATACACTCCCTATACACCCCCTATACACTCCCCATACACCCCCTATACACCCCCCCCCCTATACACTCCCTATACACCCCCTATACACTCCCCATACACCCCCTATACACCCCCCATACACCCCCCATACACCCCCACCCCCCATACCCCCCCTATACATAAAACCTGCAAGGAAGCCTGTATGTACTCCGGGTCCTATTTCTTCTTCACACCTAATACAAACTATGGAAATATCACATCCCAGGCCCATCAGACAGGTCAGCGCCACCACCAGGACTGGTCTATCTACCACCCCTGAGGACCGAGGAAGGTCCTCGCTGTACCATGAGGCAGTCCTCTCTGCTGGCAATGGGTCTGAGGAACCCACCATACATCCTTGGGCTGAGTTCCTGCACAGTACATTATGGACTTGCAATGTTGGGGGGGGGGGGGGGGGGACATGAAGACTGGGGGTCAGCCTGACTTCCATGACCCAGGTCCCTGTGATTGCTGCGCCCGTATCAGAGACCAGCCAGTCTGCAATGATTGCTGATTACTTAGATACGGATCACAGTCCATGGAGGACATAGCAACAAGTTCTCTTTCATGTAGACCTCTGTAGATCTGTATCTACCCCCCGCCCCCCCCCACCACACACCTCATGGGAAGAATCTGGTGTAGGCTACAGTCACTGAAGTCATAGTTCACACCAGGCACTGGACTCTAGGACTGACAGTGCTGATTGGCCCATCGCTGTCACATAGTCCTTCCTATCGGGATTTCCAGGACTCCCAGAACTGAATGGTGGAGGAATGACGGAAAGGTAAGTATATGCTTCCAGGACTGGGGGTGGAATTAAACACAACCATTTGTTTGGAATGGTCAAAGCAGTTCGCTTTAAGTTCTATGGCAGGACTTCCATGGTCAGTCGGGACTTCCATGGCAGTCAAGATTCCAATTGACAGTCGGGACTTCCATGGTCAGTCGGGACTCAAGGTCAATCAAGATTCAATTGACAGTCGGGACTTCCATGGTCAGTCGGGACTTCCAAGGTCAATCAAGATTCCAATTGACAGTCGGGACTTCCATGGTCAGTCGGGACTTCCATGGTCAGTCGGGACTTCCAAGGTCAATCAAGATTCCAATTGACAGTCGGGACTCCCAAAACCGGTTGTACCTCCCATAGTTAGCCAGGACTCCCATTGTCAGTTCTACCTCCCATAGTCAGTCAGGACCCCCATTGTCAGTTCTACCTCCCATCGTCAGTCCGGACTCCCATCATCAGTCAGGACCCCCATCGTCATTTAGGACCCCCATCGTCAGTCAGGACCCCCATCGTCAGTCAGGACCCCCATCGTCAGTCAGGACCCCCATCGTCAGTCAGCACTCCCATCGTCAGTCAGGACTCCCATCGTCAGTCAGGACCCCCATCGTCAGTCAGGACCCTTATCGTCAGTCAGGACCCCCATCGTCAGTCAGGACCCCCATCGTCAGTCAGGACCCCCATCGTCAGTCAGGACCCTTATCGTCAGTCAGGCCTCCCATCGTCAGTCGTCAGTCAGGACCCCATCAGTCAGGACCCCCATCGTCAGTCAGGCCCCCATCGTCAGTCAAGACCCCCATTGTCAGTTCTACCTCCCATAGGCAGTCAGGACCCCCATTGTCAGTTCTATCTCCCATAGTCAGTCAGGACCCCCATTGTCAGTCAGGACCCCCAGTCAGGACCCCCATCGTCAGTCAGGACCCCCATCGTCAGTCAGGACCCCCATTGTCAGTCAGGACCCCCATCGTCAGTCAGGACTCCCATCATTGTCAGTCAGGACCCCCATTGTCAGTCAGGGACCCCCGTCAGTCAGGACCCCCATTGTCAGGAGGACCCCCCATTGTCAGTCAGTCCATCCAGCATAGGTGATCTCAAACAAAGGTTTTTTTGCCCACACAGCCCTCAACTCTCCATTGGAGGCGATGGAGCTGAAAGCTTGGAGCCCCAGCAGAAGAGAAGGCGTGGCCCTCAGTGAGTGTCATCCCTTACACAACCCAAATGGATAAACCAGTCCACATGACTGCTACGGGCAACACCACTGACAAGGAACTCTGGTCCGTCCTCAGTACAAGAAAGGATGTTCTGTGTGTATGGAGGGCCTCACCTTCTCCAGGGCCTCCTGGGTCTGAGCGGCATGCTTCTTCTGAAGCTCCAGTCTGGTGGCCTCCATCTCCGTTCTCAGTTTGCTGAGCGCCATCTGATGTTCCTGAGCCGTCCTCTGCTTCTCCTCATCCCACAGGTGTCCCAGCTCCAGAAGCTGTTGTTTGCGCTGAGCGTTCACCTGGATCAGCTCCTCCTTCATCTTGTAGACCTGGACCTCCAACTCCGAGATGGTCTATGGAGGAGAAGAGGAGGTCAGTGGACTGAGATGGGGGCACCTGCAGCTAAACTCCCAATACGTATTATTATACAGGATTTATGGCGCCAACAGTGTGCTCAGCGCTGTACATTATGGAGGGAGACAATACAGATCAATACAAGAGGGATAGGAGGGCCTGATCCCGGGAGCTTACAATCTAAGAGGGAGGGGCTGATCCTGGGAGCTTACAATCTAACAGGGAGGGGCTGATCCTGGGAGCTTACAATCTAAGAGGGAGGGGCTGATCCTGGGAGCTTACAATCTAAGAGGGAGGGGCTGATCCTGGGAGCTTACAGTCTAGGAGGGAGGGGCTGATCCTGGGAGCTTACAGTCTAGGAGGGAGGGGGGCTAGTGGTACAGTAGGTAATTAGCTGTGGGGGATGGAGTGGGAGCTAGGAGGAGTAGTGGATTCCAGTATTAGCTGGGGTCGGGGTAGGCTTCCCTGAAGAGATCGGTTTTCAGAGATCGCCTAAAGGTGAGCAGAGTAGGTGATAGTCTGATAGATTGGGGTAGGGAGTTCCAGAGGATGGGGAGGCTCTGGAGAAGTCCTGGAGATGAGCATAGGAGGAGACAAGGGAGCTAGAGAGCAGGAGGTCATGGGAGGAGCGGAGAGGACGGTTTGGGTGATATTTGGAGACAAGATCGGTGATGTAATTTGGGGCGGAGTTATAAATGGCTTTATACGTTATTGTTAATGTTTTGAATTTTATCTGTTGGGCAATGGGAAGCCAGGGGAGGGATTGTCAGAGAGGGGTGGAGGACACTGAATGGAGGCCAGTGGAGGATTGTCAGAGAGGGGTGGAGGACACTGAATGGAAGCCAGTAGAGGATTGTCAGAGAGGGGTGGAGGACACTGAATGGAAGCCAGTGGAGGGATTGTCAGAGAGGGGTGGAGGACACTGAATGGAGGCCAGTGGAGGGAATGGCAGAGGGGGGTGGAGGACACTGAATGGAGGCCAGTGGAGGGATTGGCAGAGAGAGGTTGAGGACACTGAATGGAGGCCAGAGAGAGGCCAGTGGAGGGATTGTCAGAGAGGGGTGGAGGACACTGAATGGAAGCCAGGGGAGGGATTGTCAGAGAGAGGTGGAGGACACTGAATGGAGGCCAGTGGAGGGATTGTCAGAGAGGGGTGGAGGACACTGAATGGAGGCCAGTGGAGGGATTGGCAGAGAGGGGTGGAGGACACTGAATGGAGGCCAGTGGAGGGATTGGCAGAGGGGGGGGGAGGACACTGAATGGAGGCCAGTGAAGGGAATGGCAGAGGGGGGGGTGGAGGACACTGAATGGAGGCCAGTGGAGGGATTGGCAGAGAGAGGGGAGGACACTGAATGGAGGCCAGAGAGAGGCCAGTGGGAGGGATTGGCAGAGGGGTGGGGACACTGAATGGAGGCCATTGGAGGGATTGTCAGAGAGGGGTGGAGGACACTGAATGGAGGCCAGTGGAGGGATTGTCAGAGAGGGGTGGAGGACACTGAATGGAAGCCAGGGGAGGGATTGTCAGAGAGGGGTGGAGGACACTGAATGGAAGCCAGTGGAGGGATTGTCAGAGAGGGGTGGAGGACACTGAATGGAGGCCAGTGGAGGGAATGGCAGAGGGGGGTGGAGGACACTGAATGGAGGCCAGTGGAGGGATTGGCAGAGAGAGGTTGAGGACACTGAATGGAGGCCAGGAGAGGCCAGTGGAGGGATTGTCAGAGAGGGGTGGAGGACACTGAATGGAAGCCAGGGGAGGGGATTGTCAGAGAGAGGTGGAGGACACTGAATGGAGGCCAGTGGAGGGATTGTCAGAGAGGGGTGGAGGACACTGAATGGAGGCCAGTGGAGGGATTGGCAGAGAGGGTGGAGGACACTGAATGGAGGCCAGTGGAGGGATTGGCAGAGGGGGGTGGAGGACACTGAATGGAGGCCAGTGAAGGGATTGGCAGAGGGGGGTGGAGGACACTGAATGGAGGCCAGTGGAGGGATTGGCAGAGAGAGGTGATGAGGACACTGAATGGAGGCCAGAGAGAGGCCAGTGGAGGGATTGGCAGAGGGGGGGGGTGGAGGCCATTGGAGGGATTGTCAGAGAGGGTGGCAGATAGGGGGGGGGGAGGGGGGGGGGGGGTGGGGGGGGGGGGGGGGGGGGGGTTGGAGATGTTGCGGAGGTTGGGGGTGTTGGGGGGGGAGGGGGGAGATGTTGGGGGGGGGGGGAGGGGGGGGGGGAGGGGGGAGGTGTTGGGGAGGTTGGGGGTGTGGGAGGTTGGAGGGGGGGGGGGGGGGGGGGGGTGGGGGGGGTGGGGGGGGGGGGGGAGGTTGGAGGGGGGGGGGGGGGGGGGGGGGGGGGGGGGGGGGGGGGGAGTTGGGGGGGTGGGAGGGGGGGGGGGGGGGGGAGTTGGGGGGGGGGGGGGGGGGGGGTGGGGGGGGGGGGGGGGGGGGGGTTGGGGAGGGGAGGGGGGGGGGGGGGGGGTGGGGGGAGGTTGGGAGGGGTGGGGGGGTTGGGGGGTGGGGGGGGAGGGGGGGGGGGGGGGGGTGGGGGGGGTTGGGGGGGTTGGGGAGGTTGGAGGTGTTGGGAGGGGGGAGGTGGGGGGGGGGTTGGAGGGGGGGGGGGAGGTTGGGGGTTGGGGGGGGGGGGGGGGGGGGGGGGGGTTGGGGTGTTGGGGGTTGGGGGGGTTGGGAGGGGAGGGGGGGGGGGGGGGGGGGGGGGGGGGGGGGGGGGGGGGGGGGGGGGGGGGGGGGGGTTGGGGGGGGGGGGGGGGGGGGGGGGGGGGTTGGAGGTGTTGGGGAGGTTGGGGGTTGGGGAGGGGGGGGGGTTGGGGGGGGGGGGGTGGTTGGGGGGGTGTTGGGGGGGGGGAGATGTTGGGGAGGTTGGGGGGGATTGCGGGGGTTGGAGGTGGGGGAGGTGAAGTCTGGGGGGTGAGTTTGTCAGCGATGGGACCTTATGTTCCCCGCCACCCTCATCCCCCATTCCACCAATCCCCAACGGGGGAGGTCTTCATCTGTCAGTATTGCAGTCTCACTGGCCTCCTGGACCGTATTCTGATAGAACACCCATCACACCTGGACCTGGGGGGGTCCTCACAGAGCAGGTATACCATCTGGGTCCAAACATCTCCATTCATAACACGGGGAGGGGGTATCACAGCCTGAGGGGGGGGGGTATCCGCAAATGTGCTAGTCCACACCCGCAGCGCAACCCCCTACTGACAGCTACCTGGGGGTATACCTCTGACATATACTGCAGTGCTGTACAGGAACACCCAGGGAGGGGGGGGGTACCACAGGAGGGGGGGGACTCTAATGTCCCCTCCCCCACAGTCAGGGGTCAGTCTCTGTACCAGGGTGCTTACACTCTAATTACCCCCATCCCCCACAGTCACATCATCAGTCTGGGATCCAAGGTACCAGGGGAGGGAACGTACACTCTAATGTCCCCACCCCCAGCAGTCACACATCAATCTCTGTACCACAGGAGCTTACACTCTAATGTCCCCTCCCCCACAGTCACATCATCAGTCTCTGGGGGGGAGGGGTTAGGGGGGGGGGAATTAGGGGGTCCCCCATGGGGGTGCACGCTCCCATCAGTCACATCAGTGGGTACAGAGGAGGGACACTCTAATGTCCCCTCCCCCACAGTCACATCAGTCTCTGTACCACAGGAGGGGGTCTAATGTCCCCTCCCCCACAGTCACATCAGGGGGGTACCAGGGAGGGGGTCTAATGTCCCCTCCCCCACAGTCCCATCAGTCTGGGTCCCCCACAGTACCCAGGGGGGTTGGTTACCAGGGGGGGTCCTAATGTCCCTCCTCCCCCCACAGGGTTCAGTCTCTGTACCAGAGGAGCTTACGCTCTAATGTCCCCTCCCCCACAGTCACATCAGTCTCTGTACCAGAGGAGCTTACACTCTAATGGGGTAGGGGGGGGGACAGTCACATCAGTCTCCCCCGGAGCTTACAGAGGAGCTGACACTCTACCAGAGGAGCTTGTCCCCCCCCCACAGTCACATCAAACCCCTCCCCCACAGTCAATTGAGGAGAACTGGGGTCACCCCCCCAGCATGGACTCGGTGTGATCCTGGTGAGGGGGATGTACATACACTAGGAGGTGGATCACAGTCACTGCTTTACACCATTTGTTACATTTCTTCAGTCACTTCCTGGTTTCTGGCCTAGGAAAATGATGTCATACATCCCAGGTGTCTTCAGGAGAGGAGGAGGGGCTTTCTCAGCTAAGCACATCCTCCTGCCTGCATGCCTGAGCTAAAGACAGATGATGGATTCCAGGACATCAATGCTATGTGAATCCTCTACCCTTACTTCAAGATGGCCACAGCCACAAATGGGGGTACGGGGTGTTTTGCAAAGTAATTTCTCAGGGTGAATAAAGCATGGAGACATGGATGGATGGATGGATGGAGGATGGATGGATGGATGGAGGATGGATGGATGGATGGATGGAGATGGATGGATGGATGGATGGATGGATGGATGGATGGAGACATGGATGGATGGATGGAGACATGGATGGATGGAGACATGGATGGATGGATGGAGGAGAATGGATGGATGGATGGAGACATGGATGCATGGAGGGATGGATGGATGGATGGAACATGGATGGATGGATGGAGACACGGATGGATGGAGACATGGAGGGATGGATGGAGACATGGATGGATGGAGACATGGATGGATGGAGAATGGATGGATGGATGGATGGATGGAGGAGACATGGATGGATGGATGGAGACGATGGATGGATGGAGACATGGATGGATGGATGGAGACACGGATGGGATGGATGGAGACAAACGGATGGATGGACAGGTATGGGATGGAGACACCAGTATGGAGGGATGGATGGAGACATGGATGGATGGGGAGGATATGGATGGGATGGATGGAGACACGGATGGATGGATAGGGACAGGTATGGATGGAGACCATGGATGGATGGAGACACGGATGGATGGATGGATGGGACACGATAATGGATGGAGACATGGATGGGTTGGATGGAGATAGGGATGGGATGGAGACACGGATGGGATGGGATGGGGGATGGATGGAGGGATGGAGACAAGGAGGGGATTTACATGGATGGATGGAGACATGGATGGATGGAGATGGGGGGAACCTATGGATGGAGACATGGATGGGGATGGATTGGATGGATGGATGGGACAAATGGGAGACACAAAGGAGGATGGATGGAGACATGGGTGGGGGGGGATGGATGGAGACATGGATGGATGGACATGGATGGGATGGATGGATGGATGGATGGATGGATGGAGAGACATGGATGGATGGAGACATGGATGGATGGATGGAGACATGGATGGGGGGATGGATGGAGACATGGATGGGATGGATGGATGGAGACATGGATGGATGGATGGATGGAGACATGGATGGATGGATGGAGACATGGATGGATGGAGACATGGATGGATGGATGGATGGATGGAACAATGGATGGATGGAGACACATGGATGGATGGATGGATGGAGACATGGATGGGTTTGATGGATGGAGACATGGATGGATGGATGGATGGATGAGACATGGATGGATGGAAATACATGGGATGGATGGATGGATGGATGGAGACATGGATGGGGGGGATGGAGAACATGGATGGATGGATGGATGGATGACATGGATGGATGGAGACATGGATGGGATGGATGGAGGCCATGGATGGGATGGATGGATGGACGGGGGAGTTTGCATTGAATGTTTTAAAATGAATGAAAAAAGCATTTTTGGTCACCCCCACCCCCACACCACCCCCCACACCACCCCCCACCCCCCCCCCACCCCCCCCCCCACCCACCCACACCCCCCCCCACCCCCCCCCCCCCCCCCCCCCCCCCCACCCCCACCCACCCCCCCCCCCCCCCCCCCCCCACCCCCCCCCCCCCCAACCCCCCCCCCCCCCCCCCCCCCCCCCCCCACCCCCACACCCCCCCCCCCCCCCCCCCCCCCCCCCCCCCCCCCCCCCACCCCCCCCCCACACCCCCCAACCACCCCCCCCCCACCCCCACCCCCCCACCCCCCACACCCCCCCCCCCCACACCCCCCACCCCACCCCCCCCCCCCCCCCCCCACCCCCCCCAACCCCCCCCCCCCCCCCCCCAACACCACCCCCCCCCCCCCAAACCCCCCCCCCCCCCCCCACACAACCCCCCCCCCCCCCCCCCCCCCCCCCCCAACCCCCCCCCCCCCCCCCAACACCCCCCCCCCCCCACACCCCACACCCCCCCCCCCCCCCCCCCCCCACCCCCCAACCCCCCCCCCCCCCCCCCAAAACCAACCCCAACCCCCCCCCCCCACCCCCCAATCCCCCCCCCCCCCCCCCCCCCCCACCCCCAACCCCCACCCACCCCAACACCAACCCACACCCCCCACACCCCACCCCCCCCCCCCCCCCCCCCCCCCCCACCCCCACCCCCCCCCCCCCCCCCCCCCCCCCCCCCCCCCCCCCCCCCCCCCCCCCCCCCCCCCCCCCCCCCCCCCCCCCCCCCCCCCCCCCCCCCCCCCCCCCCCCCCCACCCACCCCCCCACCCCCCCCCCCCCCCCCCCCACCCCCCCCCACACAATCCCCCCCCACCACCCCCCCACACCCACCACCCCACCCCCCGGGAATATCTGTAGGATGTGGGCAACTCAAATCTGCCTGACTACATTGAGGGCAAAAACACGGCTTCCAGGCACCCGAGATCCTTCCCACATCAGTTCCTTTGGTGCTCATGAAGGACCCAAAACACCAGACCCAACTCTACATAGGGCCACATATACTTATAGCAGTCCATATACAGATGGGAGGGGTCTCAGATCCACAAGTGTAAGAGCTTCTAGGGGCTCATATACTGGTCACTCCTCTGAGACCCCCAAGTCATTGTTTGGGACCCCAAGTCTCAGGGTGTCAGTTTGGTCAAGTCTCAGGGTGTCATTGTTCTGGGACCCCCAAGTGTAAGGGTGTCATTGTTCTGGGACCCCCAAGTGTAAGGGTGTCATTGTTCTGGGGTCAGTTGCCATTGTGTAAGGAAGTCATTGTTCTGGGGCTCCCAAGTGTCAGGGTGTCATTGCTCTGGATCCCCCAAGTGTAAGGATGTCATAGTTTCTGGACCCCCAAGTGTCAGGGTGTCATTGTTCTGGGGCTCCCAAGTGTAAGGATGTCATAGTTCTGGGGCCCCAAGTGTAAGGGTGTCATTGTTCTGGGGCCCCAAGTGTCAGGATGTCATTGTTCTGGGGCTCCCAAGTGTCAGGGTGTCATTGTCCGGGTGTCATGTGTTCTGGGGCTCCCAAGTGTCAGGGTGTCATTGTTCTGGGGCCCCCAAGTGTCAGGGTGTCATTGTTCTGGATCCCCCAGTGTCAGTTGTGTCATTGTTCTGGAACCCCCAAGTGTAAGGGTGTCATTGTTCTGGGGCCCCCAAGTGTCAGGGTGTCATTGTTCTGGGGCCCCCAAGTGTCAGGGTGTCATTGTTCTGGGTTCCCCAAGTGTCAGTGTGTCATTGTTCTGGACCCCCAAGTGTCAGTGTGTCATTGTTCTGGACCCCCAAGTGTCAGGGTGTCATTGTCCTG